CTACTTACTGGTAAAAGGCAACAGTTCACAAGCTCTTATCTATTGTCCATATCCTTGAGAGAATCTGAGGAAGAAAGTGGGGGAAGAAGAAGTTCTAGCTGTTTCCAGGCTTAGAGTTTCTGTGTCCTCACCAGGCATTTTCTGTATTCCCAGAAAGGTTATGGGCTGGGATGGTGGGCATAATTATGACAATTCTCCAATTTAATAGTAAGAGTTTTCTTTGAGGGAGAAACTTTAATTATTTGGTGATGATAGAAGATTTTATGAGAATACACTCACTGATTTAGAATTGTCCTTTGTATTAATGCCAGGTAATAGATGAGAAACTTCAGCATAACATTAAAATTAATTGGCTCTTAAAACTATGCCCACATGACCAACGATTATTGCATCTTTGTGTCAAGAAGAACATGGCTCAAAATAATAATTTGGGGTAAAAAAAAATACACTGTTGCCTTCTTTTCCCCTGCTCTCTGCCCTTTTAACTCTTTGAAAAACCTCTTTCTCTGGAACTTGAATGGTTATTTTTCCCTGGTAGCAATGGGTCTAGAAGAGAGGAGGTGAATGGCTAGAAATGGGAATGGGGAAAATGAAGGAGGAAGGAAAAAAATAATTTCTCTCCTAAAAAACACCCAGAACTGGGGCGCCTGGGTGGCGCAGTCGGTTAAGCGTCCGACTTCAGCTCAGGTCATGATCTCGCGGTCCGTGAGTTCGAGCCCCGCGTCAGGCTCTGGGCTGACGGCTCAGAGCCTGGAGCCTGCTTCTGATTCTGTGTCTCCCTCTCTCTCTGCCCCTCCCCCGTTCATGCTCTGTCTCTCTCTGTCCCCCCGCCCCAAAAATAAATAAATAAAGTATCACTTAAAAAAAAAAAAACAAAAACACCCAGAAGGATAATTTAGTTGATTTCAATGGATTATGGGTTATCTGCCTACTTAATCTCACCTTCCCCCGGCTCCCCAATTCACTCACACTCCTGAATATTTTTTGAAAACAATGAAAGGAAAATGCATGTTGAATATATACCAAGTCAAGTTATGTTGATGTTTTCCTTTCTTCATTTCTGTAACCGATTTTGGCACCTTAATACAATGATGATAGCATGCAAATCTTTACAGAATAACCTAGTTATGATTCCTACAATAAATAATTCCCATATCCATCACTTTTAAGCATCGTCACAAAGAGTGGAGTGTAGCAATGTGCCCTTATGTTTCTTATTTTCCAGATCAATCTGTTTTTCTTAATTTTAATTTATAATCAGCACAACTGAAGCTTCCTAATCATATCAGACATGCCAATCCTTTCAGAAGCAAATCTGATTTAACATCAAGGATCCTGGCTTGTGTTCACGAAAGAGTTTTTCTCCCACTGCTCTCCAGAAGTTTTTGTTGGTACTTAACACGTTTACACAGCTGAAATTCAAACCAGTTTCCTAATACTTGGTGGACAAAAATCTCTCTCCGTGGTGCCAGGTAATCTATCCAGTCAGCATAGCAGAAGGTGCACCCAGGCAGGTGATGCTGGAGTTTCCTTTTGTAGTTTTGGTAGAGAGGAAGAAAATCAAATATGCACACAAAAGGAGATTGCTCTTGAAAAAAGTCTGGAATAAAATAGAAGATACTGCTTGGAGGATGGAGATGCGTTTACCTTGAGCTTTAAACAGATGCATGCGGAAGGATAGAACATAAGCTTTTTGTCCAATTTTGTTTTGCATTTCAGGACAGTTTAACCTAACGAATACCACTGATCCTATCTTAAGGGATACACAATTTTGCAAGAGGGGGCTTTGTGGGTATTTTTAGCCTATAAAACAGATAGCAAATAAGCTCTCCTTGCTAGCTGCAAGCTGGAGCGTGTGTCAGGCTTCACTAGGCACACAAGGCTCTGATTTTGTATCATTAAAGACTCATTATCTCTTTTAACTTCTGTTGAAAGCATTCATCCATAGCTCTAGCTACTACTGAAACAATAGAGGTTCCTAGCCCAGTAATAATGCTTCCCCCCACCCCCAACCCCCAGCTTAAAGAGCCTTTAAAGGATGGATTGGCTTCTGCAATGCAGAAACAAAAAGCTACTGCCCAGGAAAATATGACAGGTTATTTCTGTAAGTAACTTCAATTTTAAGGAGTGGAGGAAAATCGTCTGATCTGAGTTTCTCAGAGCTGGGAGTCTGAGTATACCTGCATGCTAAGTTTCTATTGGGGAAATATTACATTTTCCAAAGGAGAATGGCATGTCTTACTTATGTTTAGTCTCAAAGAGAAAAATAGTTTAATAAGAATGAAACGGGCTTGGTGTATTGATCTTGCCAATTTGTTTGGTATTAATATATATTTGGCAGGGAGGTAACTCTCCATTGAATTCAACAGTGGATTATATGAACAGTAATTTCTACATTTACCGGCTTTGTTTACACTTTCATTATACCTCTACTGCATTATCTGATGCCTTCATACAGTTTTCAATCTTATAGCCACTTTAATCTCCTCCTGCACTCAGCATATCTGAGTGAGTTTGTTGGCATAAGGGAATTTTGAAGGTTATATTACAGTACATGAATCAACAGAAAATGAAATGCACTGGAGACACGATCAGCCAGTTTTAATTCATTGCAGAAAGTTATAGATACCAAAATGCATTTAATGTAATCTGATCTCTTTATTCAGTCCTGAATTTACGAGCAATTCACCAGGAGTCAAATGACAACTTTGTTTTAAAAATAGTAGTCTATATCGGATGCCATTTTAATATATCTCTGACATATTTACATTTAAAGAGTAGGGAAAAGTGGAATCTTGGAACATAAATTTCTCTTTTCATAGAAAAGAAAAGCCTGAGAAAGATGCTACTTTTGTTCATTGAAACATTATTTGTCATTGTAACATAGGTTGGGTTGATGATAACTGTTAAATAAATCTGGCTCATCTGTATAGCTGGTAAGCAGATTAGAAGCCCCCTAGATTACTGTGCATTTCCTTTTAAGGAGCAGCAACATAGCGTCATTGTGCTCAGGTCTATAAAAAAACATTTTATGTCAGTAAGCCTGCTCTTTGCCTAGAATGATCAAATGTTCTTGGTTCAGGCTGGTCAACAAAAAGCTATGGACAGTGGCTTCCAGACTATTTCCAGAGCAGCAACACAAATGGATGTTAAACATCAGTCAATTATTGTCTGGTTAGAAGATGTGATCTTTCACTTGGGGTCCTAAGTCATTTTTGGTAATGCTGACCCCATGAAATCCCTCGTCTTACCTGTGAAGAGATAAAGTAACCCCCTATCATTCATATTTGAGACCTCTCCTTTCTCACACACCATAACACTGGCGTTTAAGTGGAAGGGTAAATGTGGGAATACTACTTGCTATTTTTATCTCAACATACAAAATTTGTAATTCATTCCAAAGCAAACAAAATTTCTTTTTTCGTGTCTCAAAAAATTTCTTACTCTCTCTATAGAAAAATTTCTTACTCTATTTTATTAAGCCCAAAGGAATAAATCATGTTTTTGCAACTGGTACATTAACAATATCTTAGCTTGCCAAATGTGGGAATTATTATTATGCAAATAAGAGATAGTACTTACAGACTATAAATGTATTTTCTATGTGTATATTAGTTATAAATATAATTATATAAATAATGTGCTTTTGTTAAGTATGTGAATTAAAATTTAGGCTTCCTGCCAAATTTTATGTAATAACAATGGCATTCGGATAGTGTTCAATTTGAGGAATTGGTCTAATAGATCAATTTTGTAAGTAGAACTAAATTCTGCATTACTTTAGACTTGCAGCATTCGTAGGAAACATTTCTTAACCAGAGTCAAATGGCGAGTTTTTATTTAAGAGATGTAAATTTCCATTCCAAGAATGCTGCAAACCCAAAATGGACCCCATTCAAATACTTTTGTTTCATTTTATTCTGGAAAATAATGAAATGGTGCTAGATGTCCTTTGTGTCCTTTAGAAGTAGATCATACGGTTGGGAGAAGAGCAAAAAGAGTTGATGCATCAGAGGGGGAAGAGTTTGTTTTTAGAATCAGTGGCCAGATGACCTAAAATTTTTGGTTCACAGAAATCAGGAGTAAAATCAACTTATTAGGATCCTCCCCTGACAGTCTGTCCAAATAGACTCATACCCCTTGAGGGAAAGCTTGATACAATCCAGTTTAAATGAAGTAACAAAAAACGGTTTCACCATTTCCTTTGAAAGGGTGACTTTTCCAGAGTCAAAACCACCATCAGTGTTAAAAAATACTTCTTAATACACAGCCCAAGTATTTCCTCCCACAATTTCATTCAATTGCTCCATTTCTTCTGTGTTCCGTTCCCAAACTGGTTGACTGGCCTTACCTTCCCTCAGTTTTCATCCATTCAAGCTACATTTCGTTCTTTGTGTGTTCACGGTGGTTCAATTCCTCTTCTCAAAGGTATTATTTATTTATTTTTTCGCTTTTAACTTTTTTTTGTAGTTTTGCTAAATTTGTGATGGCGTTTTAATTATGTTCTTTAAATGGTAGGAAGAAAGAGGATTTTCTAGCTTGTGAACACTGAATCTCTACTTAAATAGCCCAACTTGTGATGCCTAGGAAAATCAAATAAACGGGAAGTTTTTCAGTTTTAACAAACTGTTGCAACTTTTCCTTTTGAATATTCACCTAGTTTGAATTTTCCAGGATAAATCTTGAGTGATCTCTGTTTTCTCTACCTGTGCAACTTATCTTGGTTATGTTCTGCCAAATAGAATGAGAATTTTATATTATTGATCTTTGTTCCTCTGAGCTATCTTTTGATGATCTTAAGAATTACTTCAACTATATTTAAATTACAAAATGAATACAACAAAATACATACTTGATAGAAAAATAGAAGCATAACACCATCTTTGGGTATAATCTTAAAAATAATAAATGACTTAAGTTGTCATTATCTGTGTTCATAGAATCTTGAGATGAAGGGGCGAAAGCATTTGTCATTAAAAATGATTTTCTTTTATTTCCAGGCGAGAAGAATGCTGTGCTGTTGGAATAGAATAATTGAAAGGTAAGGTTTGTGATGGGGAACCATGAGGATGGAGTCTTAAGCCACAGTCTGGAGGAGGATGTACCTTTCACTTGGAAGCTAGGGCTTAGAACATAGAAAAGGGTATTAGCGGAGGATGAGTCTCTGTAATCCACTTACACTATTCCAAAGCTCAAATCAACAATCTCCCACACCATCTATGTCTCGCATTCTTTCCTCCTCCCGAGCAGCATCTTTCTCATGTCTATCTTTGCAAGTGTGCTTCTAAGGGAGTAAGATTTTATCCTTTCTATGAAAGTTCAAATTTTAATGAGCGTTTACAGATAAAAAGACTTCAAGGTTTCAGGTATGCAGAAGATACCTCTAAATAAGTTGTTACTTGCCTAGATAATTCCAAGGTTCTTAGGGGTAGAGTCAATTCACCTAACCCATCCAAATGTCAGTTGTCTTCCAAATGTTCAAAATCATTTAGATACAACAGGATAATATTTTGGAAATCTCAGAAATGTGATAGAACTGATCTAAGTGCATGAAACCAGTGATGCAAATTGGCAAGTACGAGTAAGGATTCTCTATTTCCCAACGGTGCTAACACTGAAATATTTTCATCTTGGTAGAAACTAGTAGCAAGGGAAAACCCATGAGGATCAACTTTTTTGAAAGATCAATCATCATCTTGTCCTGACAACCTGGGCCTTCTCCAGTTTTTGTTTTGTTATATCTCTGTAGTATGCTGTCTCTGGCACCCCTTAAATTTGCCATCCCTCATTTTGTTTCTTCTTTAAAACCATGGGTCTTCTCAGCAGGGTGAATGTTATGAACAGTGATGCTTTCAATGGGAACAAGGAAAGCAACAGTTAATTGATGACACTCCTAAAAGAATGAATATACAAATGTTAATCCCCAACCTGTGGTTGTCACACTATACTTTGAAATTTGGTCTTGTCACTGGTCAGTAATTAAATACAATCAACCTTTGTTCCTTCTGTGTGTGTTAGTGCCAAGTATTTATAATTCTCTTGCTTTGGAAATTGACGGTCTAACTCTGTTGCCAGTGCTATCCCAAAGTGCAAAAAGAAAAGAAAAAGCACCGATAGAAGAGTGAAAGTAGAAAGTAAAAGCCCCTAGTGCAGTTGAAGCTGAAGGTTATGGGGCAATGGTGTGGAAAGGAAAGCGGGGTATAAGATCATGTCTGTTAATTCATATAGCAACTGCATTCATCCATTTGAGGTAATGCAAATGCATGATAAAAGTAAAATAACTAAATCCAATCATATGCATCAATTCTATCTTCTTGAGCAATTATCATTCTTTCGTAAACTGCAATTTTGGCCACTTGTGTGTACCAACCCTTAATTGTCAGTAATTCTCTAGTTTTCTAGCATTTTGTAATGAGATATTTAGCATACAACACTGCTGCTGACAGCTATTCACACTGTGGAATTGAATTACTAGACATACAAAAATCATGGGAAGCAGTCACTGGGAGTATTCTTAAGTATTTGGCTCGTTTAGTTGATATTTAATACAGAAGATTACTGACCAAATCAAAGGTAATCTTAAGGGTCCTGAGCCATGGCTACTCTTTTCCTTTCCATGTCCCAATCTCATCTAGATTGATAGAGATCTTCTTCCTGTAGTAAATGCTACCAGTATAGATGAGGAAAACCATGACCACTTCTGATGGTTATTTAGGTATTATTAAAACTCTTCATTTTTCTCAGAAATATAATTTTTGATAAACAGCAGGAATAGAAACTAGTGATAATGTACAAACCAACATTTCAAAAAAAAAAAAAAAATGACCATGTGGAACTCCAGAGGACTGTAGTCCTGAATGATGTTTTCTATATAATCAAGTCAGTAGGTTGGTGACATTATATAGGAATTTCTAATGTCATGGAGAATCCAGGGTGGGCATGGTTAGAAAGACTCTAGATTGCTTCACTCTTTCTTTAAAAAGGAAGCAACTGGCAACTTTAAGTGCATGTTACTAAGTGAATGAAGCCAATCTGAAAATGCTACATACTATACCACTCCAATCAGATGACGTTCTTGAAAAGGCAGAACTATGGAGATAATACAAAGATCATTGGTTGCCAGAGATGGAGTGGCAGGGGAGAGATGAATAGGCAGAGCACAGGGGATTTTTGCAGGAGTGAAAATACACTGCATGATATCAAAATGATGGGTATGTATCACTATATCTTTGCTTAAACACATAGAATGTACAATATCAGGGGTGAAGCCTAAGGTATGTACTTGGGGTGCTTGTGATGAACAAGTGTAGGCTCTTCTCTGGTTAAGAAAAAAAAAGTATCATTCTGGTAAGTGGATGTTGATTAGAGGGAGACTATGCATGTGTGGGGCCAGGAAGTTCTGTGCCTCCCTCTTAGTTTTGTTGTAAACTCAAACTAATCTTAAAAAGAAAGGAAGCTATTGCCCTGGTTCTTCTCAAACAAGCCTTCACAGGGGTCTAAGAGTGGCCTTTAGTGATACTTTAATTGGTTAGTAAAGGTGATGTTGATGGCTAATGGAAGGGAGTTGGCCCTGAACTCACTAGTTATGCAATTCATGTATGCTGCCTGGGGTTTGAGCTTTTCATCTGTCCCCTGAAGACATTGAATTAGATTTGTAAAATGCCTTCAAATCCCAAGTTTTTTTTTGACTGCCAGTGACCTGTAAGTGGTATATTTTCTTAAGCATTGCTTTGCTCATTGTTCTTCGAAGCTCTTTTTTATGGTATCTTTACTGGTTTTTTGTTTTTGTTTTTTGATTGCCTGTTCTTGTGTTTTTGTTTTTGTTTTTTCTTAAGTCTGAATTTGAGCTACTTTGGAATGAGTAGTTTCTTATTTCTTTTATTATCTGAACCACTTTTTTCCCCTATTATTTTTGGACAGCTAAAATGAAAATACTTTCAAAAACCTCTTCTGTTTTCTGTTCTCTCCCCATTTGGAGTGCCTTATGTTTGAATTTGATCTTGTTTTCCTGTTTCATTTAGTCTGTGGACATCCTGAGAAGGTCTTTCAGAAATCAGTATTCTCCCCACCTTATTCTTTTTTGTGTTTTCTTCACTGCATATTCATCAAAGCGTGGGATCTCCATTCAGGTTTGGAATCTCTTCCAACTTACATTGTAATTTGTATTCATTTTTACTTCTAATCAACATTCCACTTAGTCCATTTCCATCTGGATATCCATCATCTTATATCCAAAACTTAACGCATTACCTTCCCATCCCCGCTTGTTCCGTGCCCTTTCCTCTTTTACAGAATGTCATTATCCATGATGTCTCCACTACTAGAAACAGAGCAGCATCTCAGCCTCTTCATCTTACTTATTCCTCATCCATTCTTGTTGTCACAGCCTTACTTGACACATTCCCATCCCACTTTAGATGCTACCATCACTTTTGGAGGTATAATCTTTATAAAGTGAAAACTATGTGAGCGGTGGTCCTGAAGATGGAGGACGCATGTAAGAAGGGAGAGTGGAATGTTTCTCAGTTGGTCATGTGGCTGGGCAGCTGGCTTAGTCATTTGCCCTCTATCTCCATGGGAAGGACAAAAGTAAGCAGAGAGAAAGAGATGACACAGGGGGAACAGAGGAAGGGAAGCCTTTATCAGACACACAAAGTGTATGTGTTTCCTACAGGACAGTGGGCATCCCAGAGGCCTGGAGGCTGGGACAAATGACTCAAAAAGAGGCTCCGTGGTATTTTGAGAACAGGAGAGGGAAGATTTGACAGAGGTTGATGCTTGCACACAGAGATTCATAACAGCCAGAAGAACAGAGATAGGCAGCCCAGACAGATGGTTATAGAATTAGGCCTGGAAAATGAAGGGTGCATCATGTGTCCCCTAGAGCAGACGACACGAACCCTACAGGCCCCATCAACAAGATCAGGGAGGGGGAAGAAGAAGGAAAGAAAACTTTCCCTTTCCTTCTTCAGGTCCCTGTGCCATGAGGCTGGTCTAAAGTGGGTAAATGGATATTTGAAATGTGTGATGAAAAAATAAAGTTCAAAGGAGATAACAACTGAAAATGAAAAATTATAACTTTAATAACTAGAAGTGCTTGAGAGAGTTTGAAATGTGCCCAAGAGCCTACACTGATACATCACAATCATGTCTTGGGCAAGACTTTGAAATTTGCCCAAGATACGTAGACATATATTACAAGATAGGGAGATTTGATGCAGTGCAAGGGGCACTGGGTTTAAGAAAGACAAGTATATCATGTCATCATGCTACCAATCTGAGACAATTCAGTAAACCATTTAGCTGTCACCATATGGCATGGCATTTTTCTCTTTACGTGTCTGTTCCCCCTCCCAGGGCACCTTTATCCCCAGTACCTTGCATTTCATACATGCTCGAAGATCTTTGTTAACGAATAAAGGAATACACGCATGAACAAATCAGTGTTCAGACCAACGCACAAAGGTGCATGTGAGGCACTCAAAAAAGAGAATTAGGTGAAAAGAATAATCTGCATTCCTAAGGTAACAGGTGCTATCTTAGTACCAAAACATGTATATTCATCACCAAAAATGAAATTCATAACAAGCTGCCTGCCTGTACTCCATCTACTCTCCTTCTCATCCTGAGCTCTCATTCTTTGTCTAAATTCTTCTCTGCCTGTGTACAACCTGTGATTGCTAATGTGCTTCTGAATACCCCCTGTGTTTCTTGGTCATAGTGTATTGACTGGCTAGTTCTAGATGTTAACTCCCATTTAGTTACTGGGAGGACTGATTATATAAATTTTGAATCAAAGAGGCCATCGTTTTTTTCCTGGGCCATCATTCCCCCCCCCCTCCACATTTCTTCGTGCAATATTCTCACATCATCTGAGATAGTTGCCTAATCAGGTTTTGAAACTGGAAACACAAATTTTTCATGGCTTTCACCCATGCCTACATGAGGCTCTTTCAGTAGATAGAGTATATGCTCCTTTTCTTTAAAAAAAAATTGTACTTTCCATCGCTTTCTGTTTTAGAGATGCAAACCAATACTGCC